CTCACCTTCTGTCTCTTATTGCTGTGGTGTCCTTTTAACCCCTTTAGCATCCTGCTGAAATGAAGTTTATAAACAGAAGTTTGGGAATGGATCAACACCAATACTGTCAAATATCTAAGTCACCAATTCAAATCCTTCAGTCTACTTCCACCTTCTGAATCTGCAAATTCCTCTATGTCCCTGTATGTCACAAAAGAAGTTTCACAGTTATGTTAGCTTCTAGGATATCACCAGATTGTGTGTCTTTAAAAAATAATTTTTTTCACTATAATCAGAAATTAAAGACAATTAGAGTGACTTTTCCAGGCAAGTTAAGATGAAAACTTCTCCCTATTAAGAAATAATTGATATGTGCTCTCTGACTTAACTCTTTGTGTCCAAGTCAAAAGCAGAGAATGCAAATTTCCTTCTCTTACTCTCTTATAAAAACATAGCAAGCCAAAATATTTCACACACGCCTATTCCAAATCTCTCTTCTTGCCATTTGTACATTATCATTTTGAAAGGTTTGAATCATATGAGTTTGTGTAATGATATCTTTATACTACGCATTTCATAGAGATTCATTAAAAAGAACTTACTTCTAAAAGATGAATGGGGTATTAAATATATTTCTCAATCTTAGAACTGACCATTGACATCAATAAGAACTTAAGAGAAAACCAAATTCAGAAAGTTGTGATGATTTCACCTAAACTGAAGGTGACCTGTATGTAACATGAAAATAGTTTTTAAAATACGAAAGAGGAAAAGTTTAATATTATAGTAATTAAAAATATGTCAATAGTTACAAAGTAGTCTCCTCTATTCATTAAGATAGACCATGGAGGGTTTTTACTTGAAGACATTAAGAGCTATTCTAAGTTTGTATGAAAATAATGGAATTTGGGGCACCTGGGTGCCTCGGGAGGTTAAGCATCTGCCTCCTGCTCAGATCATGATCCCAGCGTCCTGGGATCGAGTCCCACATCAGGCTCTTTAAAAAAAAAGAAAAGAATTCTCTTCGCTTTGGTTTTTCACTAAGTCCAACTGGAATTCCTCTACTTAGCTTTTAGGTGAGCTTTCAGCTTTTCTCTTTTTCTTTTTCTTTTTTTAAATAAAATCACCATTTGGATTCCCCGTTAGTCACCAGAGTACCATTGTTAAATAACACACCGTGCCCCCAAAACCCGACTTTTGCAGACATGTTTTCAACTAATATTATTAATATTTGGAATCCACAAAATCTTGTCAGGTACTCTCAAATTCCAAATATATCTCTGCTCTGTAAAACAGGCCAGGTTGGGTTTAGGGGTTAAAACAATGTCTATGAGATTACCACTGTGTTCATCTCCTTTGGTTGACAGCATAAGGCAACATAAAATGCCAACAGTCAATGATCCAAATAAATCATGGGTGAGGGAGGGCCTGGGCTGGCTGCAGGTCAGTTCTCCAAATTCGTTCTATTCCTACATCCTTCCTTTAAAGTTGTTTCTTTGCCGTTTTCAGAGTAAGATGCCACAGGTGGACAGAAAAATTCTGAAGGTATTGAAAATTAGCTTAGGAAAATGATAAATAACCCTCCCGAAGACAAAATAAAGTATTTCATTGTGATATCTTGAAACATGTAATCATTCAAAAGTAATTAACTTCACTTGTTAACTTCAAGAATAAAGGCACCTTTTACTTTCACAGTTCTAGATGTTGTTAGAATTGCACACTAGAAAAAAAAAGGAATGGAACCCTAAAATGGGATACTAAAAGGAAATTTTGGTGGAATTAACTACTTTCATTTAGCAAATTCCCTCCTCGCAGCTCAATAAATTGCCATGAAACTATCATAAAGTGGAATTCATTCTAAAAGAAGTTTTGATATTCCCTCTGTCCAATTAGGAAGTTAAAAGGCAATTAACTTAGCTGTCATGGTAGTAGTTGACATTTCTGGGGATGTTGACACATTTGGCAGGGGAGCCAAATTCAGGGACATCTGTCTGGTGTGCAGTCTCTTCTAATTTAAAATAACTGGGGGAAGGGGAGAGAGAGGAAGGAAGTGAGAGACTTTTCCCCCAATTTTCTGTAGTCCATTCCCAAGGCTCTGAATCAAAATCTCACTTCTCTGACGAGTTCAAGTCCTGGTGGTTTGTCACTTCTTTGATCAGTTCGTGTCCTGGTGGTTTGAATATCTGCGAGAGTACAGGAGGTAGAGGGGATTAAATTTGTTTTACTTTCTACTTCAGCTTATAATCAAGGCACAATCTCATCTGATTGAGAAATACCACCTTTGTGTAAATGACACCTTTCCAGATACACGGAAAATACTGACCTTGCTCCAATCAGTGGGCATATTGTAAAACTTCGGACTCTTCATTTTTCTTCCTTTACCTTGGACTTGGAGGGAGACAACTGTTTTCCTGCCTAGATTCAAATCGATGCTCACTGGCCCCAATTTCCCCCTGTGTTGCTTTAAACTCCTGTGCGGCCAGTACCCTCACTTAGCTTGAGAAAGGTTTTAAAAAACTGGTTCAAGTAGAGGAGATTGAGAAATGTGAAAAGAAAGCAGCCTTAGGCAACTGGCATCACCTTCTCTTCCTTGTCTTTGTTCGAAACATGGGATGTCACCGCTCGTGTCATCCTTTTCAAACATAATTACCACTTTGCTGGGCCTCGCTGGATGCGGAGAGATTGTTATTTTCTCCTGAATTTGTGGGGGAAAAAAATCAAAGTTCCTTTGGTCCCATGGTCAAAGTCAAGTAAAAATATCAAAGTGAGTGGGTACAGGGGATAGGGGGTGGCTACTGCGAGGTGAGCAAGGACGAGAATTGAGCTGCCCAGCCCTCGCTAGGCGCGCGATCCGGCGCTCACGCCCCAGCGCCTTTACCCACGCAGCACTGCGGGCCTCCAGCCACGCCGCGGAACCTGGGTAGCGCGGGGAGGAGCGCCCTGCGGCAAAGGACGTTCAGTACCGGAGATGCTCTAGTTGGAGGAAGCCAAAGTAGAACCTGTGTCCACAGATAGTCAGCAGGACCTGCGCAGAAGGGGAGAGTGTGACCCTCCGTGGTCGCGCCTACTGGCCGCGATCTGTCCGAGGCACCTCGGCTCCCGCTCAGACCTGACTCCGGGAACGCGGCCCGGCGGAGCCAGAACCTGGCGCGGGACAGGGCGGAGCGGCCCTCGGCAGCTCGCGCGCTCCTAGGCGGCGAGAAAGACTGGGACCTACACGCCCACCTCACGCCTCCAGGAGGGCACTTTGCGGCTCTTTGGACGAAGGTTCGCTCTTTAGCCTCCAGAGAAAACCAAGACGATTGCCCTTCTCCGAAGCACCCTGGGCGGGAGGGTTGGGATGGGGGCGGGAAGGATATTCTGCTCTACCTGTGCGCCTAGATCGCCAAAGGATCTAGGGGCCTGCAGAGCTCAGCCACAAGGCAACCTGGCCCCTGAAAAGGCATGCGTAAAACTGGACTGAGTGGTGTCTTTATTTTTTTTTATTATTTTAATTTTCTTTAAAGTAGACATCGTACTTAAAGAAGCTCTTCGATCGCTCGGGACAGTTCACCATTTATAAACCGAACTGGAGACTTGGAGCCACTTCGCATTTATTATTCGGGCAAAACCAAAACCTCACCCCGGAAACAATTTGGCTTAAATATTCACGTTTTGAAGACAAATATTTCTTTAAGGGTGCATACAGCCTGGGAATCGATGTCAGACTTTTTTTTTTTTTTAATTGGGTAATAACTGGAGTTCGTAATGCACGCTGCCTCTTCCTTGGTTCTGGACTCTCAATGTTCCCAAGCTCTGCCCCCACCTACCTCTCAAGTCAGGCCCACGCCCTTCCCACCACCTGACCCAGCCATACCGACAGTGTTGTCTTGATTCATCCCTAAACATGGACTCCACTGTGACACCCTCCTCCCCAGGGGACTGTGTTGGGAGTGGGGAGTGCTTGGGAAAGAATGAAGAGCGTGGCCGGAAGCCCATCCGAGCCAGTAAACCTCTCAGGGCAGGAAAGAGAACAGCGATGCACGTTTCACAATTGAAATGCATCCTTTCAACTCTCTAAAATAAAGCAAAAAGTCCTGTCTGACTTCCTGCATTCCCTAGCATGACTCCTCTTGCAGTCAACAAGTCCTCGTCCCAAGAAGTTACCGCAACACCAAAGGACTCAGGCCGAGGAAACCCGGGGCTGCCGGGGGCTGGGTAGGGCCTCCTGGACTCCTCGAAAGCAACTCGCACCGGGAGGAGCCAGAGGCGGGGCGCGAACAGCGCCCACGGAGCGGGTTTGGGTGGGGGACTTCAAAGAGAAAGTGTCGGGATCGAACTCTAAAGAGGCAGAAGGGACCGACCCCAGAGAGCAGAACTGAGGTGTGGGAGCTGGCGGCGGGTGGGCTGGGTCAGAGGAGGTGCATCAGGGCAGTCCTTACCGGCTTCAGCTACTGCCATTTCTCCCCCAGAGGGAGCTCCTACGCGCCAGGCAGGAGTCTCCCGACTCCCTCGACTTCCTGTCTGAGGTGCCGCGAATCCCCTAGGGGATTCCTGGGGAGCGCGCTATCCCTGCCGGCACTCAGCAGAAGCCGAGAGCAGATAATCTGCCCCACCTGGCCACCCCCGGACTCGCACACTCTCAACTCTCCAGTTTGAGGCCGGGGCTCTCCCACGGGACTTTTACCACCACGCATCAAACTTCTTTCTCTCCCCAAGTGTGAGAACCCCCACTTTCCCCCTCCTGCACTCCTCCCTCCCTCTCCCTTTTCTTGGTTTGCTTCTCTGTCCAGCTTTAGCCTGGGAATCCTACTCCTCTTAGTGCGAAGCCTCAGGGCCCAGGCTCGGAGGCGCGCGGTTCGCCGCACCCTTGGCTAGCAGCTCGCGGCAGGGGAGCTCGGGGAAACACGCCGGTAGCCCCTAGGGCCCAGTCCCTGGCTCCCCATTGGCCCCCCGGTCCCCGCCCCCTCCGCGGCCCGGAGTGGCGTCAGCACGCCACTCCGGCGTGGGGTTTAAATGCCCACTAGCGGGAGCTCGGGCGTTTCTATCCCGGAGCGCGGTCCGGGCTCAAACTGCCCGGGTGGGAGGGGAGCCTGAGAGCGGGATCCCGAGCCGCTGAGCGCGCTGCCCACCGCTCCGCCGCCGATGACTCGGGAGCTCCGGTCCAAGCACCGCCCATGCAGAATCACTGCGCTCCACCGACCCAGAGTTGATGAAAAAACACTTAGCCGTCTCCGCTGCGGGGAGCCATGAGCTGTCTGGATGTTATGTACCAAGTCTATGGTCCTCCCCAGCCTTACTTTGCAGCCGCCTACACCCCCTACCACCAGGTACGTGTCTCCTCCGGGCCGGGACCTTGGAGACGGGTGGCGCGCCCCCGCTTGCTGAAGCACCGCCTGTACCCCGAGGTCCGGGACACCTCCGCACCGGTCCGGGGCGTCCTGCCCGCGGCGGGAGCCCGGAGGATGCGGGGATTGCCGGCGCTGCCAAACGGTAGGTTGAGCTAACCCCTTTAGCTTGTCCACTTGCTCTCTCGGGAAGGCAGCTAAGCCCGCTAATGCGTGCCCGGTCCTTCCGGGGAACCATCACACGAGGATCGCGGGAGCGATCTGTCGGACTCCAGAGTCTTCGGTGCGGGTGAGGGGAGATGCGAGCAAAGCTCACAAAGGGAAAACCAAACTTTGGTCTCAAAGGTGAGAGTGACAAGAGAACAAAAGCAAAGACCTGTCTCTGTCTTTCTGCCTAAAACACAAAGACCTGCGTTCTCATCTCTGCAAGCTTATCTAAGGAGTGAATTTTTCCCGTTTCAATTCTCAAGGGATCAGGCCAATTAATTCCGGAACCAGAGAATTCGTTACAAAGAGAACTGCGTGAACGCGTGGGTTTGATAATCTTTGCAAAACTGTAGGGATTATTATTGGGGTGCAATTGACCTGACGGATGCGAGCTTCAAAGATAATATTTCGCCTTTCTAGAGCCTGAGTGGCTGCATCGGGCTATCCTGCGGTCCACAAACCCACCTGTAAGAAGACCACTTAACCCCGTTCGGGCAAACTCTTGAAGTTTCGTTTAATTATTCCAATTTCTCTCTTCTCCGAGCGGAGTCTGGTCGACCAGTTTTTCTTTCCACGTCCTCAGCTGATATTGTAGAAACTGAAGACCGTAGTCCAGTCAAAGAATAAGATCACACACCCAGGGGGCTGTAGGAGTCAGGAGCAGGTTCCAAAGTGAGGGCCTGGACTCCTGTTCAAGAGAGACTGAAATACTTCCGGACCGCTGGTCCAAGTTTTTGCCAATTTTGATTGCAAATTCAGAATGTCCATTCGAAAATTTCCTGATGAATTAATGATGGAAGGAGTAGGTTTTGCTTTTCTCCTTCTACCTCCCCCCCCTTTTAAATTTCCCATCTAAGAGTTTGTTTAGTCTCACAAAGTTAATTTGGGGAATCACCAGAGTCCCTCATTATAAGCCAAGCAGGAATGTGGTAGAAGTGGTCATTCTACTAAGTAACTACAGTCTTTTGGCTTCAGGGTCTGAGATGACTCCTTTCCAGGTTGGCACTATTGCAAAGAAGAGAGAGGGGTTGGTTTTCTGTCTGTTTGGTCCTTTCTCCTCCCTGATCCTGGACCAACCCAACCTATTCCATTAAGTTCTCTGTTCATTTTTGTATGATCAGCCTGCTTCAAGGCCATCTCTGCCTGCATAAATGCGTTAACACTGCATTCAGTCTATTGCTCATTTCTAAGAAAATATTTCAGCAGCTACACTTGGTTTTTTAAAATCACTACCAGACAGCCACAATTTACCCATCCTCATGGCCAAGATCTTCTTCTTCGGTTCCTTGTTATTACGTGTTTCCTCAATGTGCACAGAGATGGTGAGGGTCGAAATGCTCACAGCCCTCTGGTTTTTCCTTACTCAAAAGAAGATCTCTTTAAAAACTGAGATAGACTTTTAAGTGGACAGTTTATGGGCGACCAAACAAATATCAGCTTGCATTTATTCATATGATCCATGTCAGAATGTTATTCCACATTTTTACCCCATGATTCTTTCCTAGATGGAACTATATCTTACCTCTGTGGCAGTTTTTCCTCTACATTCCTGGCTGCGTGGAGTGGGTTTTGGCATTTTCACGCTCTATCAGGACGATGCTTGAATCTTGCATCTTGTGCATCTGCCCTGGATTCTTAGGCAGGGGACAGTCAGGCTCTAACTGGGCTTGGGTGCCCTTCATCCTTGGAGGCTGATTTTAAAAATATATCTGCCCCGAATCTGGCTCTGTGGCTCAACTCAGCTCATAGCCTGGCATCTTCTGGGACTTTTCCCCTGACATCTTCAGAGAGCTTTCCCTGGGGTCTGGCAGGAATTCTAGGGAGCCAGAGACACCAAGCAGGGCAGTCTGCCTCTCAAGGAGCTCACGCGTGTTACTGAGCACAGGGCTTAGGCCTGGATGCCAGTTTTCCCCTGGATACCTTAGGAATCTGACGGAGTGAGATGGGAACCCAGTTTGCCATCTCTTTTGAAATTGACCTCTCTATTCTTTCTCTCTTGGAGCAGAAACTAGCCTATTACTCCAAGATGCAGGAAGCGCAAGAGTGCAACGCCAGCCCCAGCAACAGCACGGGCAGCGGCAGCTCCTTTTCCAGCCAAACTCCAGCCAGTATCAAAGAGGAAGAAGGCAGCCCAGAGAAAGAGCGCCCGCCAGAGGCAGAGTACATCAACTCCCGCTGCGTCCTCTTTACCTATTTCCAGGGGGACATCAGCTCTGTGGTGGATGAGCACTTCAGTAGGGCCCTGAGCCAGCCTAGCAGCTATTCCGCAAGCTGTACAAGCAGCAAAGCACCCAGGAGCTCCGGGCCCTGGCGGGGTGAGTAAAGGGCTCGCTTCTAAGGGCAGATAGAGAGCCCTCGAGGCCTGGGGCCCCCCTACTGGGCTCAAGGAAAGGCAGCCAAAAGAATACTAGGTGTCAGAGAGGAGGTGAGGAGGGGCTTGTGGGGAGTGTAAGTAAAAGGAAGGAAGGAAAAAAAATCTATCCTTGAAGAGGCAGAGCAGAGCAGGGCAGTGACTTAGAAAAAACACTAGCCTTGGAATTGGGAGACCTGGATTTTCCTGCTGGCCCTACCACTTCCTAGCAATATGACCTTGGGCAAGTCTCTTAACCTCTTTGGGGTCACTCTATTTACTGGTCTCTAAAATTAGAGTAATACTTGCCCTCTTAACTGTCACTGGAGATGGCTATAGGACAAATATGAAAATGTATGTAAAAGTGCTGTGGGAGTGTGAGGTTTCAAACGCTGTCCCAAGCCACGTGGAAGATCTTCACCTACAACAACTTCCAGGGCTCTTAGCAGTTCCTGAAAATTTGCCCAGAGGAAAAAGTCCTAGACCCCACCGGAAGCAAAACCTGCTGATGAATGTCTCTTAAAACGTATGTATGCTTTTTGCCAGGCTTCAATTACTTAGGAAATCTTGAAGCAGAAAATGTCTTTCAGTAAGCAAGTACCAAAGAAATAAAAGTTTAGGTACAGCCAAAACATCTCTAGGATTTCCCCCCAAACACCCCCTCTTTATTGTTCTACCCTTCTCACAGAGCACTGCTTTATCTAGCCTGGGACAATGATTTATTGGCCAATCTCCCTTCTATTAGGAAATCTCAATCTCTTTTTATTCCCAGGCAAGGGTGGGGGTAACTATTTGGTAAGCTTTCTCACTAAATTTAATTTTTGATGTGTTGTACCAAGATGAGAAAGGAGGACTTTCTTGTGAAAGAAAAACGAATATAACATTTGGGGAGGAGGATGACAGCTCTCACCCTCCCTTTTTCTCTTAAGAGTATCTGACAGTTTGTGCAATCCTTGCCTAGGTAAGATCTCAAATCATTAGTTTGGAATACAGAACATTTTTTTTATTCTCTCTTAGAATGCATTTTCACCACATTTTTAATTCTCTAGTATGTGGGGCAGATGCCTTCCCTAGAGGAGGTGCTCGATCAAGTCCCCTGGAATTAAATATCTTTCCTTCCCTCCGTTCCCACCAGGGACAACAAATTTGATCTAAATGCTGTTGTTCTCTTAAAACGCTTCCCGGCACTAGGGGTCAACAGGGATACTGGCCATAAGAATTATTATTATTCCTGGCGTCCACACTTTAAGGAACAAATATTATTAAGTAAAACTTAAAAGATCTGTCCCTTTGCGTCCCTCTGCAAATAATACAACTGCCCTTTTAGTATGTCCAGTTTACTCTTTTGCTTGAGTTCTTGGAAAAAAATATTTGGAAGTAGGTTTCTAGAAAGGAGGCTAATAATAGCAAGACTTTGAAATATGTCGATGGACTTCCAGTCTATCGGAGGCCTTGGAGGGGCACATTTTCTGGAGCTGGGGAGGCTGAAACGCGAGAGGGGCTAGTGAAATGGCTAGGCTGCTGACCAAGAGTGGGAAGAGGTATCTTTAGCTTGGGGCGAGGCTGCGGGCTGGGACCGGGAGGCCGAGTCTACCCCGAGGCCGCCGAGGCAGCGCAGCCTCGAGTCGGAGGAAGCTCCCTGCGCCCCAAAACTGGAACGGAAGGGAGTGTCTCTCCTCTCTTCCTCTCCCAGTCTAGTCTGTCCTGGGGTTTCCTCACTGAAGACGCGTCTGCAAATTCCGAGGAAGCGGCCCTCCTTCCCGAAGGGTTTCCCCCATTTTGCGGTGCCTCAACCTCGAATTCGCAGGCTGCAGCCCCCTCAGAAAGGCGCCGCCCCCGAGGCCCGGCTGCAGGTCCGCTCCCCGCCGCGGCTTGCCCGCCCTTTGCCCGCCAGGCGCGTTCAGCTTTCCCGCCGCGCGGGGTTGGCGCTTCCATCTCCCCCGCGGTGACGCGCTCCTCTCTTCCTTTCCTCCCCTCCGCCTCGCCGGCCTGCAGACGGCTCCTTCCCGATGAGCCAGCGCAGCTTCCCCGCCTCCTTCTGGAACAGCGCGTACCAGGCACCGGTGCCCGCGCCTCTGGGCAGCCCGCTGGCCGCCGCGCACTCGGAGCTGCCCTTCGCTGCCGCCGACCCCTACTCGCCGGCCGCGCTGCACAGCCACCTGCACCAGGGCGCGGCCGAGCCCTGGCACCACGCGCACCCGCACCACGCGCACCCGCACCACCCCTACGCGCTGGGCAGCGCCCTCGGCGCCCAGGCCGCCCCCTACCCGCGGCCTGCCGCCGTGCACGAGGTCTACGCGCCGCACTTCGACCCGCGCTACGGGCCGCTGCTGATGCCCGCAGCCTCCGGGCGCCCGGCCCGCCTCGCGCCCGCCCCGGCGCCCGCGCCCGGCAGCCCGCCCTGCGAGCTCTCCGCCAAGGGCGAGCCCACCGGCGCCGCGTGGGCCACGCCCGGGGGACCCTTCGCCAGCCCCGCGGGGGATGTGGCCCAGGGTCTGGGACTCAGCGTGGACTCAGGTAAGCGGGAGAGGGAGCTTGGCCTCCCCGGGCCCCTCCTGCCCTGTGTCCGACCATGGGCTGAGCCCCGGATCCCCCTTAGTTCTCCTTGGAGACCCCAGTGACGTTGTGCCTCAGAGGTCTGCATGGCAGGGTTGTGCTTCAGCAGACAGATGACCCAGTGTCATCGGTGTGGGCAGAATGAGAAAGAAGGACACTGCCCTAACCTGGCTGGTAGATATAAAAGGGCCTTTTTTTCAAATGTAAATAAATAAACAAGTAAATAATTTGTTGAAAAGGTTCTAGCTCTGCGCTGTTCAATTCTGTAACCGCTAGCCACATGTACTTGTTGAGCACTTGAAATGTGGCTAGGACGAATTGGGATGTGCTGTACGCGCATAATACGCACTGGATTTCAAAACTGTGTACAAAGAAAAAAATGTAAAATTCATCTCACTAATATTTTTATGTTGGTTGCATGTTGGAATACTTTCGACACATTGCATATTGAACATATTGGGTTAAATAAAATATATTACTAAGATTAATTCTCATCTGGTTCTTTTTACTTTTTTCCAATGTGGCTGCTAGAATATTTAGAATTATGCCGGTGGCTCCCATTGTGTTTTTATTGGACAGCGCTGATCTAGAGGACCTAGAGCTAAGAGTGTAGTTCAAAATCTTCTACAAGCTTGGGCGGAGGATATTGTCTCTTAGTGACAATTATAAGGAAAGAAAAATGTGCTTCTGATATCAACCTAATTGCGAAATTAAATAGATCTCTTAAAATGTAAAACTTAAAGAGAATGTGATTTCCATGACTATATTAAGTTTCTGGTTCAATGAGTTGAATTTGAAAGGTACATTCTTCTGCTTCCTTTATTTTTAGGGCATAACCAAAAAATGGTTACATTATAAATGCAATCATTGGCTTGTGGTCTTGCCCACCCGCCCTTCCTTCAGGTGAAGATTTGACATTTCTGTTTGCTTTGCTTTTACTTTCATTCATGCCCTTTAAATGAATTCTGTGACATTCACAATAAAACAGTGGTGTTTGTTTTTCTCTTTCCTTAAATACCTGTGCCTTCCCACCCCCAACCCCTTCTCTCTCCCTCTGTTTCTCTTCTCCCTCTCTCCCTCTCTCTTTCTTTTGTTTTCTCTCCGTTTTCAGGTTTACAGCCTCAGGACAAAAGCAAGGATCTGTACTGGTTTTAGACAGCCAGTCTTGTTCCCTGTAGGTCTCTGCATAGAGCAATTGCTGACTCTCAGAGCTGAAATCGAGTGGGTTTGTAATGGCTTCTGATCTTGGTTTGCAGCTCGTCGTTATTCCCTCTGTGGTGCCTCCCTCCTGAGCTGATCAGATGACCCCGGGTTTCCCCTTCCCTTTCCCTTCCGACCAGCCACGGAGGCTCAGCATCTGGGCCTCTCACTTCATGGATGACGACGTGGGGGAAGGCAGAGACTTCAAACATCTCCACATGTTGGGAAAACCAAAACATACATCTACAGAAATTTTGTCTAACAATAATTCCTTCTGCGGAAAGAGCAGATCCAAAGACTCTGAATCATGTTTAATGACTCTTGGGCAAATCACTGGAAATAACCATCAGTGAGCTCACTTAGATATGATGTCATAAGTTTTCTTGGAAAGAGGAGGGGAAAAAAAGACATTTTGGTGTGAATATTTTTTATGCTGATGTGAATTATATCATTAAGTAGTGTGACCGTAGCACTACTGATGTCAGTATCCTCACATTTAAAATGTATTTGTATTTGCATCGAAGACTGTGGTAGGGAAGTAAGAGAGGCCAACTCGCAATGCCTTCTTCCTCACCTCATGGCCTCCAGCTCCCTTCGTGCCCACTCCTTCTCTGCAACACCCACTCCAGACACAAAGACACACTCTTTTCCTTTGGACTGTGAACATGGAAGCCTCAGCCTAAATGTGAGTGGCAAGTGGCTTCTCTGGAGCCACCTGCCCAAGTCTTACTGAAATGCAGCTGTTGTAGGACAACTGTTGAAAACTCCAGAAATACATCGACCAAGGTGGCGCTTCCCAGTGTTTGGCACAACAATTGCAATTGCACTGGATCTATTTTGTGTGTGTGTGTGTGTTTGTGTGTGTGTGTGTGTAGATATATATCATATTTTTTACAAGGAACATTCTACAATGAAAGAAGAAGCCCTTCTCTGCCTTCTCTCCCACAAATTCCGTCTCTCCTTCCATCCTCCTCAGGATGGAAAAAAAAAAAAAAGGCAAGAAACCCCAACTGTCTCCATGAAGAAGAACCAGGAATCGCCACAAGGGGAAGAAATGTCCACAGAGTCTCTAATACCTCGAATATTCCTCTCAGTCTCTGTGGTTGCAATTTGGTCACTTTCGTTTTGGCACAGGGGAAGGGATCCGTGCGTGGGCAAAGCTGAAGGTGATGAGGAAGAAGAAATGAACAGTAAAGATGTCTCTTTACTACAGGGTCGCTGTGTTATTTCATAAAAAGAAAATAAATGTCTTAGTCTTTCCCGAGTAGAATAAAATAATTTATAGTAGTACAATCTGTTGTCAGTAACCAATATTACTTTATGTATATAGTGCTGTTTTTCCAAAGTGTTTGCCATTCTGTGAAACCCATTAACCCTTTTCACTTGACATCAACCCCAGGAGTGAGAAGTTAGGTATCCCACCTCTGTTTCACAAGTGAGAAAACTGTGGCCTGCAGAAGCCCAGGCTTACCGGACGGCATTCACTGGGTTGAAGGTAGAGATGCTACGGAAAGCACCACCTGGGCACCATTCAGGGAGGCACACGTTTATTATTCTCCAGAAGAGAATTATTATTACTTCTTCGATTCTAGACTCTTAAGACAGTAGTCAGTTAAAAAGTGTTTTTGAAATATTGGTTATATTACAGTTTAGGAAGCTAGGCTAAGAAAACGAACCTACCACTGGTCGCCCCCCCCCCGAAAAAAAAGGAAGAAAGAGGAAAGAAAGAGGTTAATTATTAAGAAATGAGTGGTCTTTTCTCTTAATTTTCTCTTGATGCTAAAATTGTGTTCATTCACTAAAGTGCCCAAAGAAATATTCTGTGTTATGTTCAAATTGCCCTTCTAGATTGTTAAAGCATAAAAATATCAGCTCAAATCTTGACCTTCGTTATAACATGAGGAACAAATACAATTTATCTTGGATAATAGTCTCAAGAGTTGGGGGCTAAAGGGACCTTACTCAGAGTATGGCTTAGCAGAGGTACCCATCCCCTCGTTCTGTCATCTTGGCAGCTGTGAAGTAGATTATGATCATTTCAAGAACCTATTACTGGTTTTGCTTCTATGGAAGGTACTTGATGATTATGCTGCATCAGATGTGATAGCACTCACAACAACTGATGTTAATTGTTGATCAGGCGCTGGTCGGAGGGCTTCATATGCAGGTTAACTCATTTAAGTCTGACAGCAAGTCTATGTGTATTTATGATGGTGATCCCCTTCTTACCCATGAGATAACCGAGGCTCACAGAGGAGAAATAATTTGCCCAGTCACCCAGCCAGTAAGTGGCAGAGCCAGGATGCCAACCCAGGCAGCCTGGGTGCAGAGACCGCACTGTCACCCACCGCACAGGCAGCTTGTCCTCTTCTGATTTGTCTTGGGTGGCTCGACTCTGGGTTTACTTTCTCCTCCATGGAAGATGAAGAAGGAAGGGGAAAGAGGCAGGGCACCAAAGATTGACATACCACAGACCTTATGGAATCCCTGGTCCCAAAGGAACTATCATAGGACATTTTCACACCTCTTCATCAAATGATACTATCTATAGACCATTCAGTCAGATGCAGATTTCCATTCTTCTCCAGGAGGGAATTATTATTGCTTCTCTTATTAATTCATTTCAGTATTTAGCAGACTTCCCTGCCCTGAAGCTCTTCACACCCAACCCGACCGAGTTGTGTAAAGAGTTAGCCTGAGGTTTGGACATTGAGGCAATAACTAAAATTAACTCTGGACTTCTCTGCGGATTTTTTTAATCCATGTTCCATTGGCACGGATCACTAGTATATACAAGCCTAAATAAAATGCATTAAGTCCCAGCTCGCTTTTGAGAATTTGCCGCTGAGTATGCCGTTGAGGAAGAAAGCCCGCGGTGCATTCTTTGCTGGACACTGTCTCCAAACAATCCCCACCGGAAGGGACTCTGCCCATGCTCCACTGTGTTAGCACCCACAGGATCTCTGCTCGGAACCCACAGGGAGCATTTGCCCAGCCACAAGGTTCTGATTACTGAAGCCTCTCCCCTGAGCTGCATCTGACCTGACTATCAGGTTGCTGGTGAGGAGACTCATTCACTGGAACTGGCCTTTGGGGCAGTCCTGACCAGACCATCCAGACTGCTGAGCCGGGCTCCAGTGACCTGGCACACAGGACACTCGGATGACAGCATTTCCCTCCATGTTAGACGTTCCCCAAGTAGAAATGCAAGACGACCTAGAACTATAATGATCCTGTCTGCGTCATAAGAGCATCAGAGAGAACTTGGGTGAATTAAAAATCCTAACGGACGTGCTTTAGGCGCACCAAATTCATGCAAAATATTAATTCCCTTGTCTTGCTAATATTCATGAAACGGTGCAGATTAGAGAAGGCCCTGGTCATTGATTAAAGGACATTCAAGGGAATGAAGGATGACACGGGGAAAGGCCAACATGACGTTCTCACACGTGTTCTACCTGGTTGGGGGGCCTGAGAGAAAGACAAGCTTCTCCTCTACTCATCCCTGCTGGCAGCGGTGGTCTCCCCGTGCAGTGTTCCCTGTGCACTTGGCCTCGATTGAGGGAGAGGTGATGAAAAGGGGAGAGACAGCTCTCCGCCACCAAGTAATCCTTCTGCCGATTGCCCTCTGGCTGAGAACTCAGTCACCCAACTTCAGGGAACTCTATCTGTTCTACTCCTTTGGTTTAAAAGGAGTTGCCATCCTGTCTCATTTCCCCCTTTGAAGTTCTATTTCAACATGTGGCAAATTCTAGCAATGACTTAAGATTGATTTGGGCCTGGATGGGAAGGAGGGCAGAGGTGGTGGAGGTTAGGACTTAGATCCCTTGACTGGAAGCTTCTCTTGCCACTCTTTCTGGGTAAGGACTGCTCTTTCTGTGCCCTTTTTATCAGAGGAAACAAGTCTTAAGATCAATTTAACCTCCAATTTGCTCAGAATCATAAACCCTGGGTTTATGTGTGGTCACCCATACCCTTTCTATCAAAATAAACGGGATTTTTTTTTTTTTTTAACACTTAGTGATTGATCACTTTGGGGTTGGAGGAGATAAAAAAATAAGAGACAAACTGCTTTTCATATAAATGCTATTTCTATAAATTGCATTTTAAATGTAATTCCTATGGTGTCAAAACATGAAAGGAAACTTGAAAGATATTTGAAAAGACCTTAAAATTAAATGAAACCAAAAAAATAAGATTCCTTTATAAAATTGCCTTAACACTCTGTTGACAAGATGCCTGCAAATAATTTACATTTTGATCATACTTATCAAAGTCCATACTCTATATATTCCATTTTCCTTGCAAGATTTTTAGGATTTATTATTATCCATTATCTATTACATAGTCCTAAGATCTGGAGTAAAGGAATAAATGTCCTGAAGGCAGTATCATTATTAGATTTTCTGTTTGTACATAACTGAAGTTTTGACATTTTCACAAGCAATGGGATTAAGCAAATGTAAATTTCACATTTCCTCAACACCAGCTTTCCCTTATCTCTCATGAATAAATGAAACTCTAATAATATAAATATGGTACCCTCCACAATATAGAAACTATCTACAGATCTCTCTCTCTCTCTCTCTGATGCAGGCCTAAAGGGAAATCAGAGACACCGTGCCCTCAGACAGGCACAGACAGAAATGATTACTCTCACTTGACAGACCAACTGTACCGCTCTTTCCTTGTATTTCACTCCAGCCCCAGAGGGCTGGATCAGGAAAGAGACACTTGATAGCTGCTGGTTCCGTGGTTGAAATATTTGTGAAGTTAACGCATAATCTGAAAGCAGAAGCTAATAAATTATAGGGTGCTAATTGGAGCTGGAGTGGAGCTGTCAATCATGTTATCCTAAACACAGGGAGACCACCCTCATACCCTAAAAAGGCAAAGAAGCCTTCAGGAACAGCTCCCAGTTGTTTCCAGCCTTGACCTGCACTCCAGCAGGAACATCGACCCCAGGCAGAGTGACCTCTGGCGGAGTCAGCAGAGGTGGTTCTGCTAATCCAAGCTCACTTTAAGAAGAGAGACAGATTCTCTTTTAAGGGGAAAGAGAATATTTTTACTAAAGAATTACTGTTTTGAGAAACATATTGTTTACAGAAATACATATATCAAATTTACTGGAATAATTATTACTTTGGTAAAACGTTACCCTTTATTTGGAATTTTTCACTTTACAAAACAGGTTTAACTCAACGAGAGAAAAATCTAAAGGTCTCCACCGTACTGTCATGTCTACCTCGGGTTACAGTAACTCTCAGAGTTTTCCAACGCACCCTTACGGAACTAAGCTCCTCTAGAACAAAAATAAGATGTCCAAATTTCCATTCCCTTACTGGAATTCATTTATTCCCCCCTAAAAAAAGGAACAGCAGCCTATTTCTTATTCCTGTGTTTTGTTCTTAAAAACTCCCAGTAATCTCTGATTCTATTTATCTCCCACTGTGTCAAATGGCTGACGTGATTTTGCTCAAACTATCCTCCTCTGTTCCATTTCCCATCAACACTGTAATTATTACATACGTAATATGTAATTATTACATATGACAAAATTTAGGTTAAGGGTAAACCCAACTTTTGGAAAACAAAACTAAAGAATTAAAATTTTTTGATTCCTAATCAATATTTGCATGACTCTCACGATCGAGTTACTAGGCAGAAATTTTTAGCAGCATTTATTTATGGAGTATATGCTTTGATCTCTATGTGTATTTACAACTACTAAAATACTCTTATAATTTGGAAACTTCTTTAGCATACTTCAAATAAAAATAGTTCTCACTCAGGAAAAGCAAATTACGTATCTTAAAATTCTACACACACAAAGGCTCAAAACAACAATTATAATTGATGGGAATGTCATAAGTTTGTTTCTTTTCCAGCTAATTCTCATCGCTACAGCCTTGCCCTTATTTTTGGCAACTCTATAATTGGCCTTGTGCCAATAACAGCACTATCAAGAAATGGGATGGAAAACAAAAATATATATTTTGTTGTCATTGCTGTTTATTTTCACTGCGTACAATCTTATTTCTTTTTTCTTCATCTACCATATTTTACCCAATGTGTAACGCATCCCAGAAAATAATTGGATATTTTTTCATCTAGTATCATATGACTTTTTTTTAATATTGTACCCGCTTTTTTTTTTTTAAATTTTTTTTATATTTTTGAGAGAGAGAGAATGAGAGATAGAAAGCACGA